CCCCCCCGCTTCATTTGTCCTCATCCCTCAAGAGGGAGGAGAGGGCCATTTGCTCTGGAACCTTCCAGAAAATGGACTTCTCTTCCTGCAGCAGAGGCTCTTTGGTCCCCTTTGCATTTCCTTTACCATTGTTTTCTTTATAGCCTTGAAATCTTTTATCTTTTGGCTTACACAGCACACACTGTGTAAGGCAGTCAACCCACTGAAATGCCTTGCATTTCTTTCTTTTCTAATGTTTTAAGAAAAATAGTAAAGGTTATTGTCCTGCAGCCCTATGACTACTTCCCTTCTCAGTGACAGAAGACCTTCGTCCCGTGATCTGCAATAGAGAGAGGTGTGAGGGTGGGGACTGGAGGATCCTCTGCTCTCCTGAATTTCTTTATTAATAACCACTTAGCAATCGCTTCTCATTCTCACCCACTTCTGACCTTGGTTATGTTTTTAAGCTGCACATGGAGGTGAGGGAGCTCTGATACTATCTCAAAGGAGAGTTTTTTTTTTTTTTTAAAGATTTATTTATTTGTGCATACAGAACTGGGGTACAGGCCAGAGGCTCAGGGGCAGCAAGAGGCTTCACCAGAGACAGAGTGGGGAGCAGAACAGGCAGATCGACGAAGTACACTGCTGAGGGGAGCAGCGGGCGGGTCAGGAGAGGTCTGCCACGCCATGTGGTCACCTCCGGGGCAGGCGGGGATCGAACTCATGTGGAAGCGGCTTTAGCTTCTCAGTGCTGTGCTTTAACCCGCTGCGCCACCAGGGAGGGCCTCAAAGGAGAGTTTTTGACACCAGATCACAGCACAGCTGACTCTGCCTGCTCCTGAGAGCTTGAGATTGGCAGGGTGAGCCAGGGTCAGCCAGGGCTCTGCAGCTGTGATGCCTTAGCTCAGTTAGACGGGAGCCCTGGGATCCCCTCCAGCCCTCTGGAGGATCTTAAAGGTCTGAGTCCCCAAAACGGTCTCTTTCCAATTTACCAGACACTTTGTTTCCTTACTTCTCACCCTTCCTACTTCGCCCTAAGCCCCTGGCATCAGATTTTTCTCCAAAAAGAAGAGCCAACATTTTCTAAGGTGGCACTTTTCACCCCAGCTTACATAACCGTGTAAGAGCCTGTGCCAGGGGCAGACGCAGACGAAGCCTGAAGATTTGGGGTGGGCAGGGGAGTTAGTAATTTTCAGTAAGGGTTTTAAACACTATTTACATTGAACTTTATTCTCGAACTGATGGCAACCTTAGTATGAAAGTTTAAAATAGATCTACCAAAAAAGTCGATTCTGCCCCCAAGCCCCAGAATACCAGACAATGTCTTCAACTTTTGGAAGTATTGGGATGTGGAAGTTTGAGGTCCTCTGCTCCCCGGAATGGGTAGAGCTGAGTAGGGAAGAGTTTCGGGGGCGGGGGGGGGTGGCGGGGAGGGACTATTGGTAAAGCATTTTCCCTAACTGTTTTTCAGAAATTTCCCAATTAGAGATCAGATCTCATTGTTTATTTTGTTTTGTCCAGAGAAAGAGGAAGAGGGGATCCCATCTCCTCGCCCCTGTCTCCCAGTTGTCCTCAAATCTAGGGCTTCTGGTGACTCTGCCTCTCCCTGTGTCCTCCCCTGCACCCCAGGACCCTCAACACCCCCATCTGACCTGCGCCTGAGCTCCCTAACACCGTCCACTGTTCGGCTGCACTGGTGTCCTCCCACAGAGCCCAATGGCGAGATCGTGGAGTATCTGATTCTGTACAGCAACAACCATACCCAACCCGAGCACCAGTGGACCCTGCTCACCACCGAGGGTGAGGGCTCGCACCTAGCGCATCTAAGCAAGAGCTCCTTGGCCTCATCAGTGGCTGGGTTTGTGGAGTGCTGCTGGTTGTTCCTAGGAGGAGAGTCTAGGGGGAGTAACAGAAGCCCCTGCGCTAGCGGGAGGGGGACTTTCTCAGTCCCAGGGCTATTTCCCAGCCTATCCCCTTATTCCTGCCTCCCTCTCCCCTCCCCCATCTGATCTACCTTCCCTGCTCTGCCTGTACCCCCCCTCCCACCTCCAGGAAACATCTTCAGTGTTGAGGTGCATGGCCTGGAGAGCGATACCAGGTACTTCTTCAAGATGGGGGCACGCACTGAGGTGGGGCCTGGGCCCTTCTCCAGCCTACGGGATGTGATCACTCTGCAGGAGAAGCTGTCAGGTAGGAGGGCCAGAAGGGAGGCAGATGTGGGGACCACCTTGGGGTGGCCTAGGGTCTCCAGAAGCCTCTGGAGTTGGCTTCTAACCTGGGAATCATCTCTTCTAAGACCTTATTTTCAAGTCCAACTACTCTTTCATCATTCTGGACAGTGCCCCCTCTGGTTTGGAGTAAGGGGAATTTGAAGGGGGAAAGAGTGTGGTTCAGGGGCAATTCAGTGCAGAAGTCAGATTTATCAGAGAGCAGTTTGGTTTGGAGTCTAGCCTCTTCTTTGGGAGATTGCTTTAATTGGAGGATTGGCTTGGTGACGTGGTGACCCTTTTGGGGTGGAAGTGGGCAGCCAGACTAGCTATGTCATTTGTATCACTCAGTATAAAATGAAATGTGGGGCGCCTTATTTGAAAATGAACAATTTTAAGATGGTGACCGAAGATCGTTAAACCAAGCATAGATGCCTCTAATATTGGCCCCTGCAACTTCACTTGCTGCACCCCCACGAAACCCTGGTGCACAGGCAAGAGTCTCATCGAAAGATCAAGCTGATAGGGACCCTCCAGATGTCCAAGGGGGAGGCATGGTGGAGCCTCCTCTCCTGGCATCTGAAGTTTCAGGTATCCAAAGGATGAGAGTCAGGCCAGTGGTCTTCTGAGGATACCACAAGAAATCCCGACCTGTGACCCTCAGGCTTTTCCTGTCCCTAACCACTCTGAACCCTCTCTCCCCCACCAGACTCCTTGGATGTACACTCAGTCACGGGCATCATCGTGGGTGTCTGCCTGGGCCTCCTCTGCCTCCTGGCCTGCATGTGTGCTGGCCTGCGCCGCAGCCCCCACAGGTAGGTGAGGGAACCAGTCTTGACCACAGAGAAGAGAGACTTCCAGAGGGCTGCAGAAATGAGAGAGAAAGGAGCCATGATTTACACTACGCAACGCCCCAGAGCCCCATTAAAATTAGGACCCTGGGATGAAGGGGCGGGGTGATGTTCTCATGGGAGTAAATGAAGCTTAGGGAATCCCCAGCCTACTCCCTGTAGTGAGGGTGGGCATAGGTAAAGCCACCTTTTCCCCACTTCTTCTATAGCTGTCAGCACCTTAGAAGTAGGACCCCAATGTCCAGGTGCCTGGAGCCAAGGGAGGAGGGCCCAGAGGAAGGCCCCCCCTTTGTAGTAGTGTCATGGCTGTTTTGAAATGCTTCTTACTCATTGCACATACCAGAAGATCAAGTCCCAGAGATGGACAGAATCTACCCAGGGGCTAGACCCCAGTCCTCCACCCGCAGCTGACCCTTCACTCTGACCAACCTGCCTGTTGCCCATCTTCGTTTCCAGGGAAACCCTCCCAGGACTGTCCTCCACGGCCACTGCTAGAAACCCTGCACTGTACTCCCGAGCCCGACTGGCTACCCCCAACCCCCCAACTGCCCATGAACTGGAGTCCCTTGTGCACCCCCGTCCCCAGGAATGGTCCCCGCCACCATCAGACATCGAGGACCGGGCTGAAGTGCACAGCCTTATGGGTGGTGGTGTTTCAGACTGCCGGGGTCATTCCAAGAGAAAGGTGAGTCTAGAGCTTGAATAGATCAGAGCCCCACACTGCAGCTCACTCCCACATAGGACAGCAGGGGGCACAAGAGCACCTCGCCAGAGCACAGCATGAGACCCTGTGAGGGAACCTTTCCTCCCCTCCCCTTCTCCTTCTCTGGCCAACTGCTGGGGTGGGGGTGGGGGGTTGGGTGCTCTCTCCTTCCCTGAAAGGTAGGGAAGCAGGTGGGCCTCAAGCCCCTGGCAAAATGGGTCAGTCTGGTTCTTATGGAAGAAGAGGAGGACCCTTGATGGGCTGTTGGCAGCTGACTCACTCAGGGGGATCAGAACATCCAAATCCTTCCTCTCGGGAGTTGGGGAGACCTCTAAGACCCGGTCTTCCATATACAGGGAAAAGAGCCAGGTCAATTTGGCTATAGTCAATTGAATGGGACCCAGAGAAGGTGGGTCCATGTGCTCCCCCTATGCCAGCAGGGTGGCTCATCCCACTCTACCCCAGCAGTCCCCTCCAATCTGAGTCCTCCCTCAGCTTCTGGCTGCTTCTGTGGTGAAGGACACCCTTCTAACTTGGAAAACGCTGGGCCTTACCAGAGCATCTGACATTAGGCTTTTCTGCAGGAGTACTTTACGCCCCTCAAAGGGTTGGAGAGAGCAGGGGGCCTAGAGTCTGGCTCCACTACTGCCCTCTCTTCTGTGTCTTTTCCCCCACCAACCTCTCAGTGCTCCCCCTTCCTTCCCCTGTGCAGGTCTCCTGGACTCAGCCAGGTGGACCCACCTGGGCAGGTTCCTGGGCCGGCTGCGAGCTGCCCCAAGCAGGCCCTGTGCCCTCTCTGACCCGGGCCCTGCTGCCCCCTGCTGGAACCGGGCAGACACTGTTGCTCCAGGCTCTGGTGTATGATGCCATAAAGGTCAGTATGCTGGGAGAAAAGGAGAAGGGTCCCCAAGCTTGTGAAGAGCAAGTAGTTAGTTCTCTGAGTCCCCTGAAGTTCACTTCTTTGGGGATACAAGTCTAACCAGGAGACCCCTAGAGCCTCTACACGTGAGTGGGTAAAGGAGAGGCCAATTTTCTAGATTCAGTTTCACCTGGGTTGGGGATAGTCCCTTCTCTAGCCACACCTAAGCCAGCCACAGCAGAATCATCGTGTACCTGTGGTGGGCCTGGCCTGAGTGCATCCAGCCCTCTCTCCTGCTCACTGAGGTCTGGACATGTGTGATCAACACTGTGGGACCCCAAGGGAGGGTCGGATTCTCTGCACCCCAACTAATTTTGGTCATTCTGATGACCAAATATCAAGCATCTTAATGATATTCATTTGTCTTTGTGTTCTCTGCTCTGGCTAGGGCAATGGGAGGAAGAAGCCACCCCCAGCCTGCAGGAACCAGGTGGAGGCTGAAGTCATTGTCCACTCTGACTTTAGTGCCTCCAAAGGGAATCCTGACCTCCATCTCCAAGACCTGGAACCTGAGGAGACCCTGTGTTTGGAGGCTTCTGACCTCACCTTAGGAGTTGTGGATCCAGGGCAAGGAGCAGACTGGCTGGACACGGAGCTGGAAGGGTGTGACCAGACAGCTAATGGGCCGGACAGACTTATGTGCCTGCCAGAGGCAGCCGACGCTTCCTGCCCCTACCCGGACCTCCAGTCCAGTGAGGCTTTGGAGGAGGCCCCTGGGAATAGCTGCCAGCCAAAGGACTCATGCCCTCTAGGAGCCAGCCCAGGCCTGCCCAGAGCCCCCGTCTCCTCCTCTGCCTAGCTCCCATAGGGGTGCAGGTGGGGCAGGCTGGTGTGGATCACAGGACATGACACGTGTGGCCACATGTGCACACATGTGTACCTGCAGATACTGAACACCACCACCAAGCCATCTGGAGCCTCCCAGGGTGCTTTGGCTGGGGGAACAGGGAGAAATGAATTGGTTCTCTCCTCCCGTACTCGACGCATGCGATATGTGAAAGACACACGGGGCACCGCTAAATGTGATATACACACGTGTGAAGCATGAAAAGTGCTGGTTGATGAACTGGGGACCTTGATCCAGGCAATGGTCACCACGGCCTGACTGATCCTCCAGGCAGGACAGCGTCCCAGAGGGGCCCATCACCAGCCCTGTGGGCCTGCACCAGCCTCTTATTACACACTCTGAGAGTGTCTCCAATGCCCTGTCTGACAAAGACAGCCCCGGCCCATTTTCCTGTCTGGCTGGGCTGAGTGCTAGTAGGCTCTGAATGCCTGACAGTTTAGCTGCATTGCCTCCATCTCCCATGTCCCTCCTGCCCAAGTTGAGAGGGTGACACGGGCTCCCCTCAAAGCAACTCTGCATTTAATTTTGTAATTCGGGAAGTGCCTGGCCTTGAAAATCTCTTTCCCTCCCCTCCACTGTTCTGGGCCGTCTCCCAGTCACCTTGCCCTCCCAATTGGATTCTGGTGTCCCATTCTGCTCCTCCTTGCTGATACTGTCCTTTCCTCTGTGCTTTCTGTCTCCTCTATGTGTTCTGCTGTCTCTCTCACCTCTCCCAGACTCTGTCATGTAGCTGTCCTCCCTGGGCTCAATCTCTGCATCCTCCCCTAACAACATGACTACCTCATGTCTGCTTCGAGGCCGTAGCTGACTCCTGTGTCTGCTGTCCACTCGCTCGCTGGTCATGCTCCTGCTCCCTCTTCCTCTGTTCTCCTCCATATGCCGCTTCCAGGCAAACTAC